CCCCAAAACCCCAAAACCCCAAAACCCCAAAACCCCATTCGTAGGGAAGTTAATTGAATAATATTTAATTTAAGTCAAAATGGAGGAGTGTCCTATCTGATTCCGTGACTTTAACAACACCCTAAAAGCATATATGCTTAACTGCGGTCACTATTTCTGACTTGAAGATGTCCAGTCCATGTACAAAGATAGTGAAGGCATGGAGGAAAATAAAGAACCTCAAGGAAAAACAGGGATATGATGCTACATTTGCAAACAACATCATTTCGTAAATAGCTTCGATAATATATCAAAAGAAGTGGTCGTCAAAAAGTAAGATCCTAGAGCCAACCAAACAATGAGTCTTATTAGTGACAATATTTGTGTATGTGGGATTTTTGAGATTCACAAAATTAGTGCAGAATTTTAGAAAATTATAGTTTATTCAAAAAATTGTATTGAGTTTGCTTAATAGCATGGTTGAATAGGTTAACAAGGAGACTACCGAAGGAAGAATTAAAATTAGACTGAACTATGGACAGAATTGACAATTTGTAAGTTTTTATAACTTTTATTTGGGATATTTATGAAAGAAGGTGAAGATTTGCAGTCAAATCTATATTATTGCCAAAAATAGCTCATCTTATCAGAATCTCATAAATATAGTATGAAATCTGACCAAAACAGCGAGTATGATGAGGTAGAAGGATCTGAAGATGAAGAAGAAATGATAGAGCAAAATAAAGAAGATGAGCTTGATATTGAGCTCCAACCTGGCTTTAAATGAGGAACTCATAATCAATTACTTCACTCATACATCATCAGCAATCATGTCCTATTATGTAACGAATGAATAGAAGAGAAAAAGCTTCATGACGATCGATACAAGCCGATTCCAAGAGTAGTAAAGCAAATAAAAAGAGCTCTAGATGGTAAAATTAAAAATCCTCTCTTCACCAGAATATTCCTCTAAATCAATCTCACTCACTCCTAGACCAGAAATTCAGCATAGAAGAGGCACATAATAAGCTAAAGTATTTCAAATAGCTCTCTCAAGGTCCACCTCGATACAAAGAAAAGAAAATGAATTCAGAAGACACTAGACTATTTTAAATAAAGTAGGCCACCTCTCACCATATCATAGCTAAAACAGATGATTCTTTCTGAAGAGATCAGAGCCTTTGAGAGATTAGACGAGGTATTTCACAAGATCGAAGAAAATACCTACGGTACTAATAATATCAACGGGATTTTGGAAACCGTAGCTGGCAAGGAAAAAGAAATTCAGTGACTTATTGATTTCCCTGAACAAGAACTTGTCAAGTTTTATGAAGATGTAAAGGCTCTTACTCATAAGAATGAGAGATTTTATAAATTAAAGAAATATAGGGATTTTGACTTTGAGTTTAAATCAAAGACATCTCTCTTGTCTCGAATCCAGGAACTAATCAAAGGCTCATGGAGTTTTAACGTCAAGAAGACTAAGAAGAAAGAGATAAAGACTATTATGAAGAAGTGCCTAGACGCAGACTCTTATTGGAACTGTATGAAATGATCTAAAAGAAACCTCTGATCTAAAAACCTCACACAGTGCAAACACTGTGAGTCCTGAAGACCACTGAGAAGTTTTAAGTCTATCTCAGACAATCGCAAGGATATTAATAAGGATGATTTGAAGAAGATTAACCTCAGGCGAAGCAGAGAGCATAAAGAAGTTCAAAGATTAACAAAGCTTGTAGAAGAGCTTGAAGAGAACAACGTAATGCACCTTCCTTACTACTTTATTGAAAAGGAGTGGTATAACCAATGGAATGTCTTTGTCACGAATAATAAGGAAGATAGGTGATATCATCTGTACAAGTCTCATATCGAGAAATTAGGAGTCATAGATCCAGTAAAAATTGATAATAGCCTTCTATTTTCCTCTACAGGCGAACTTAAGAGAGGTCTTACTCCTGAAAATGACTTTGAAGCTGTTGGCCAGCCTGTGTGGGAATATCTATATAAACTTTATGGAGGAGGCCCTATTATAAAGCGAGAAACTAAAGATATTTATTCTCTAGAGCTTGATACGTCTGAAGAAGAGAAAAGACAAGAGGTATCCTGATATTTTAATTTATAGAAAATCTTGCAGCAGCGAGAGAAAACCAATTTGCCAACAAGAGAGATTGAAGAGCTTAATACCAAATTTGATCAACATTATGCTTATATTGAATCTCTACATTCTCAGTTAGATTCATCTTTGGAGCACAGAGGACAAACAAGAAAGGATATATTTGATGAAGACTTTAATTTTGATGAAGAACTACAAACTGAAACATTCTTTGCCCCACAAATGCAAGAAGGACTCGGTTGAATGGACTCACCACCTAAAAGGATCACTAAAACTGTTCATAAAACTAGGAAAAAGAATAAAAAGAAATAACTTAGAAGCCATCTTAAGAAATTAGCAAGGATCAATCTTTGAAGCATGCTAGGGGTTTTGGGGTTTTGGGGTTTTGGGGTTTTGGGGTTTTGGGG